CATACACATAAAATAAAAATAATAAATAAAATGCAGCTAACAGCTGTCCATAACTCCAGTTCCAGGGCATCCGACCACCTTTTCTGTCCTCTGCGGGCATTGCACAACACAGGTGCACTTACATACATGCAGGCAATACAGGCATACACATAAAATAAAGATAACAAAATATTAAAAAAAAAAAAGAAAAAATTATAGCCCAATCATCAGAGGATTTGGGTGGAATGTGACAGTCACTGTTTTGTCTTCGGAAGATCCTCTGGCTACAGCATGATGATATTTGAAAGCCAAGCAAGGGCAGAGGCAGTGGAGACAGAAACGGATGTAGCTGTTGGGACAGTGACATCAATAGGAGGAGTCAGGCGTAGGGAAAGGGAAGAATTGTACTGCTTGGGTTTGGGGTCCCAGTAGGGCATCCATGGAAGTAGGAAATAGCAAAGGGGGACATGTTTGACCAGAAATTAATAGAAAAAGCCAGAGGGACAGCTCTAGGTGGTGGTCTGTTAACAGCCTGGAGCTTAAAGGCAAGCCAGGCTGGTTGAATGAAATTGTCTGAGATTCTAGAATCTAGGTCCTTCTTAAAGGAACTGTGCCGAAGATATTTGGAGGTAAAAATTTGTTCTGGACTTCAAATGCCAGGCTGGGGATAGAAAGAGTTTGTTCTTTTGGCAAGGGGGACCCATGAAAGGATTTGGAGCCAGGAAGAGAACTGTTTTTAGAGTAGGTGCCTATCCTATATAGCATACTCCTTCCTACTCCCCAGGAAGCCTGCTTTTGTGGCTGAGCCCTGGTCAAGCCCTACTGTGAAGACTTAACCCTGTGCCCTATGTGTGTGTGCTGTACAATTCTGAGGACGTATGAGGGGAGACTGGTCTGCCTTAATCAGATAAAGCAGAAGAACCAATTGAGCAGGCTTCAGCTGCTGCCCCCTCCACTGATCCCTGGGCTGTCATTGATTCCTTTGACCCTACTTACCACCTTCCCTCTCCTGCTTTATTCCTATCCTCTCACCTCCACTCCAGAAGCATGTGTGCGATTTGCACACAAACACATGCACAGTCACTTTCAAATACAAACACACCACCGCCCATTGGGCATCAGGCTTCTAAGTGGGGTGTGAAATACAATTTCCATGAGTGCTGGCGTCTGCTCATTAAACACTTCCCTTTGCAGCTCCCTAGTGCCTCTTACAGCCTGGCCTTTGACACTCTTGTCCCCTCCCCTGCTTTAAAGGCACCATATTTGCACAGAAGGGTAAGTGGTCTTGATATCTGTATTGTGCCTTAACAGGCTCTGCAACTTTCTGGCCTCCCAGAAAGCCCAAAAGAGCCTGCTGCCCAGACAGGTCCAGGCAGGACTTAGCATGGCCTCCTGCTGCAACTTCAATCCGAATCACCAGGCCTAGGGACTAGATAGAGAGAGACAAACCTTCTCTCCCGCCCGTCCCCCAACAGCCATGGTGACAGCTGCGGTTACAGGCAACAGCAGTTATAGGCAACAGGGCTAGGTTCTTGGCCTCCCTCTCCAGGCCTCTGCTTGTGACAGAGGGAGGGGACTAGACAGGGGTCCCAGCATGGGGGTCTGGAGGGAGTCAGAGGATAGAAAGCTCTGGGCACCCAGCCCCACCCCAGCTCTCTGGGACTTGGCTTGGCCAAGCCTCCACATCTGGCAACAGAAACTTGAGCCTCAAGCGTGTCATCTTCATAAGACAACAGCTCTGTCTCCAAAACACTTTCCCATATGTTTGCTTCCAGCCCTGAGAAGATGGGTGGGGCAGGATAATTAATCTGGATTTGCAGATGGAGAAATGCAGCTCAAATCTGGGATTTGGGAGCAAGATTCTGGGAGCAGGAGCTAGTGTCAAAGTAAAGGTGGGAACAGAAGAGACACTTTCTAGAAAACAGCCAATCCTGGAAAAAGAGGGGAGTGCTCCTCCCTTCCCCCACCCATTTCCCAACAGGCAGGGAAAAGGCCCCTGCAGGAGCTTGTAACCCACTTTCCTGGGAAGATGGTAATAATGAGGATATTAGCTAGCTAGGGTTTTTGTTTGTTTTTGAGACAGGTCTTGCTATTTAGACCAGGCTGGCCTAGAACTCATTATCCTCCTGCATGATTTGAATGCTGGGAGCTGGGTCACACAGTTGTCATCAAGCTGAAGGTGTGTGCCACCATACCTGACCCGATTAGCTAGCGTTTTTTGAACATTTAATATGGGCAGTGTTTTAAAGGTTTCACATACAATAAACCTATGTGGTCATGACTTTCATTTTATAAATGAAGAAACTAGTTGTGGGGGACCTTTCCAGCCCATGTCTGTTTAAGAAGGCTGAACCCAGAAGCATGGCTTTCTTCCTACAACTAGGCTGCTAGAACCCAACCCAAGGAAGAACTAGGGACCACACCACTGCTGAGCCCAGCCCATAGCTTAGAAAAATGCTCACTGACACTGTGGCCCCCAGGTTGGTCAGATAGAGAGAGGGATAAAGGGGCAGAGATGAATGGAAGGAGGTGAGAAGGTCTCATTGTGGGGCTCTAGGAAATGAGCTCCCAAAACTTCCTGTTGTGCCTCAGATGGGTGCTGGAGGTCCCCGACTTACAGTGCCAAGTCAACAGCTTAGCAGAGGTCCAGAGCACATACATGGTTTGGGATGTTTCAGGTCAAGTGGCAGAAGGATGACATGGACCACAACCTTAACTTCTTCTCTGTGTCATCTGACGGCAGGATCGTGTCATGGACACTCGTAAAGGTACCTATTTCCCAGAAAGGGTCATGGAGGGGTGGATGGGGAGTGGGAGGACCTAAATAGCAAAGAGCTACAGAACCAGCCTAGCCCTTCTGCCCTCTACATCCCTCTGTTATTGCAGAGTGAGCTGGTTCACATAGATGTCATCAAGCTGAAGGTGGATGGCAGCACGACAGAAATCCCCGAGGGACTGCAGTTACACACTGTGGGTAGGAGCCCAGCCTCATACTTCCTGACCAGGCCATTCAGCCTCCACACCCCAGAATCGGTGACAGTGGCCTCTGTATTCCCCAGTACTCCCTCCTCATTTGTGCTGGAGCCCAGACAACAGGAGACAGAAAAGCCCAACGTTGTGGGCTGAGTCCCTGGACACTGGTAGACTCTCCCCTCCCCTCATTCAGGCTGCTCTCTTCCCAATGTGCTGTGCAGACCCTGTTCTTCTTTATGCAGATCAGGTGCTGCTATGCAGATCCATCCCTGTTTATGCAGATCAGAGCCCTGTTTACCCAGATCCTGTCCCTGTTTACTCAATTCCTACCCTGTTTATGCAGACTCTATCCCTGTTTGCATAGACCATGTCCCTGTTTGCAGACCACCATCCCTGTTTACCATGACCCTGACCCTATTTAACTCAATTCCTGCCTTGTTTACTCAGGCACCCATTCCTGTCTGCAGAACCCTTGGTGTTTGCAGAGTCCTAACTGCCTGGGACAAGCAGGCTGGAGGTCCGGTTTCTGTCTGCCTGGCCTGGTCCCAGCCCTCACAGAGGCCCCAGTTTTATCTGTCCTGGGAGGAGCTGGGAGGCTCCCTCACTAAGTCTGTTCTCTCCTCTTCTAAGGCTGTGGCACTGCCTTTGACTTCCACAAAGAGATCGACTACATGTTCTTAGTGGGCACAGAGGAAGGGAAAATCTACAAGGTGAGGCAGCACCTCACAGGGCTACTTGGACCTAAGCACCTAGAGAGCTTGTAGTACTCAGCAAATCCTGTTCTGACAGGTCTTAGCATTCACTGTTCTACAAGCTTTCTTCGGGAAAAAGAATACATTTATTTAAAAAAAAATTTTTGTGTGTGTGTGTGTATATGATGTATGTATGAGCATGCTCATTTCAGTGTACACGTGGAGGTCAGAGGACACTTTTTGGAGTTGGTTCTCTTCTACCTTTACATGGATTCTGGAGATCTGACTCTGGTCTTCAGAATTGGCAGCAAGCACTTCTACCCACTAAACCATCTTGCTGGCCCAGAAGAAAGACTTCCCTGACGAAAACTTCAATACATTTTAGAAAATATTTATTGGAGGGGAAGGGCATGCATGCCAAGATGCATGGGCGGAGATCAGAGGATGACTTGCAGGGATCAGGTTCTCTCCTTTTACCGTGGTTCTAAAGATTGAATGCAGGTTATCAGGTTTAGTAACAAGCACCTTTCTTTACCTGCTGAGCCATCTCTCTGGCCCAAGAATGCTTTTCTTGATTGGCCTGGATAGTAGAAACAGGGACTACCTGCAGGAAAGGTGATGGAGCCTCTAGAGGGTGACTTGAACCTAGCGCAGTCTTTCCCTCTGAGCCTTGCCTCCTTTCTAGGAGGCAGACTTGGGTGTTGTGGCTGAGGGCAGCTAGGCTATTCTGAGTAGACTTCCTGGAGGAGATCTGAACTTGAGCTGGGGTTTGAAGGCCAGGTATCAAGCAGACAGATCTCTGAACACCAGGTGCATTCCTGTCAGCAGGATACAACCTCACAGCCAATTTCTACCATGTCTCAGTGTTAGTAGGTGAACATCCCTCTGAACATCCATCTGTCCAGAAATAGCTCTGCTGTGAGCTTTTCCTAGGCTCAGAGACTCAGAATGTTAATTACAGGCAGCCTCCCAGGAGCCCCAGAGGCCCAGCCTGAGCTGGTCTGAATGCAAAAGAGGTCCCCACTCCCTCTGCCCCTCCCCTCTCTACTGAGGCTAGAGTGAAAGAAAAACTAGTCACTTTGTCTCCTGGAGGGAGGGGGAAAGGCTTGTTGGCCAGGTCAGACACCAAATGGGAAATGTGGGGATCTGAGCCTGCTCCTGGCTCTGTACCTGCTCTTACCTGCACAAGGTGGGATACTCCTCACAGTGGCACAGAGTTATCTGGGCTGCAGTGAACCCAGCGCTCAGTCTGTCCAAAGGCTCTGGCCTGGAGAAATGGCTAGACCGCAAGTGCAAACCTCACCAAAGGTTGGAGACCTTGGGGCAGAAAGAGAAGGCCTTTCTTTTATGTATATGTACATAAGCTATATTTTATGTGTATGAGTGTAATGCCTGCATGAACATAGGTGTACCCATGTCGTGCAATGCCCTCGGAGGTCAGAAGAGGGTGTCGGATCCCTGTGAAATGGAGTTACAGACAGTTGTTAACAGCCTTGTGGGTGCTGGAAATTGAACCCAGGTCCTCTGCAAGCGCAGCCTGTGCTCTTAACTGCTGAGCCATCTCTCCAGCCCCCAGAAGGCCCTTCTTACTGGGCTGGAATCCCTTGGGCTCAGATATTTCTTCTCACCCTCCAAGGCTTCCCTGCCAAGCCTGAACCCTAGCCAAGTGCTTCCTTTCCCTTTGAGGGTCGGGAGGGTAGAGACAAGACAGGGAGAGAAAGAGGAGAGATAAATAGTGCCTCACTAGTATGAAAATACAGTGGGAATGGTATTAGCCCAAAAACATACTGAAAAATGACACATACACTATCTCTACATGAGTCCGTGTGAAGACTACATGATAAGAAACAGTGCCAGACAGGAGAAACCGTCCTTTGAGTTGTTGGCCAGGGTAGTCCAAGAGATTCCCAAAATTACACAGGCTATTGCCACAGTCCTTGATTTCCTCCCAGAACTTGAAAGTAAGACCCTATTGCTGAAGACAGGACATACTTTGACCAGACAGGAGAAACCTTCCTTCAAGTTGTTGGTCAGGGTAGTCTAAGAGATTCCCAAAATTACACAGGCTATTGCCACAGTCCTTGATTTCCTCCCAGAACTTGAAAGTAAGACCCTATTGCTGAAGACAGGACATACTTTGGACACAGGATTTAGAGCAACGGAGCTGGAACTGACCTGGAAGCCACCTCCTCTGAAGGCTAGTTCTCATAGCTTTTGAGAGCACTGTACAAGCTGGTAAAAGATAACATCAATCAAAGGTCCAAACCCAGCTTTGGCCTAAAAACCACATCAATAACCAGCACAGAAAACAACATTGGTGCAGTAGTGGCACTTTTATCTTGGGGGTAATCAACAGCTACCTAATTGGACTTAAAGCCCACTCAGTGGGAGGAAACCCATGTGTGGTACTGTAAACCTAGCCAAATACAAATAGCTGGAGAGGTCATAGCTCTTAGAGAAAACTCCAAGGTTGTCACATCCCTAGACAAATGTAATATGGATCCTTAAATCTATAGACAAGTATCCCAGTCACCACCCATCAAAGAAGCTTCTTTTTCAAGAGACAGAGATAGTTATAAAGTTCCACAACTGGTCACACACAGAGATTGTCTATGAATTGCCCAAGCTTAAGTGGCACATCTAGGATGCAACCTCTACACCTAAGGTTCATGGAACATAGAACAAGGGATAAAGGGAACACTAGTGCATCTTTCAATTCTCATCAATGAAGCTCCTTCATGCAACAGAGGACCAGGAACACAAAAGGCCACAAATGGCCAAAATACAGAGAATAAGAGTCTGCAGAGTGTGGGTCCTTGGACAGGACTCCTATACTAAAATCCATTCACCCAGGGCTCAGGGATCATTTTGGAAGAAGGGGCAGAAAGATTATAAGAGCCAGAGAGAAGGTGCTTGACCATACGGAAATAGTCCTACAGGCTCTTGGGACCCTTCTCATACAAACCTACAGCAATGGTGTCAGCACACATAAGACCCATGCAAATTTAAGCAGACAAAAATCTAGCACACAACTGTGGAAATGAACGGCAGGTTCCAATCTTTTTCAAAGAATTACTGGCAGCTGATTACTACTGGGTGACAATGAGCTGATCTTCTTAAAGGGAGGGACTCTTGTTAGACTGACTAGATCCCAGTGGATGAACATGCACTGAAGGACATCTGGGGACACTAACTTTACATGATAGCCTTAACACAAGTGACAGACGGTATGAACTCCAGAGGGGGGGACTATGAGAAGGTACCAAAGGGGAAGAGGGTATAAAGATGATTTTCTGTAAGAAATACACAAAAATTTAATAAAAATTTAAATAAAAAGAAAGCACCACAGCCCAGTGGTGGCAGTGAGGTGGGGTAAGGACCCAAGAGGAGGCTCAGGTGTGATGTGGATGCTCCAGGTCCACCAGGGAAAGCTGGCTGCTGACTTTTCTTTCCATATTGATCCCAATTTTCTCCCAACCCCCAACCCCACCACAGTGCTCTAAATCCTACTCTAGTCAATTCTTGGACACCTATGATGCTCACAATATGGCAGTGGATGCTGTGATCTGGAATCCATTCCACACCAAGGTCTTCATGTCCTGCAGCTCTGACTGGACAGTGAAGATCTGGGACCACACCATCAAGTGAGGGCCTGCCCTGGACCCTGCCTTGCCCTCGGTCTTCCCTTGGGCTCTGGCATTGTGAGCTCTCTGTGCCATGGGCTTCACCCTTCTACCACTGCAGGACCCCCATGTTCATTTATGACCTGAACGCAGCTGTGGGTGATGTGGCCTGGGCACCATACTCTTCCACTGTGTTTGCAGCAGTCACCACAGATGGGAAGGTGAGTGGCCCCTTCCTCACCCCTAGAAAGCCCACCACATGCTACCCCAGGTCAGTAGGGAATGGTAGGACATAAAGACTATGTATTTCAAGGGCCAGACTGTGCAGCTGTGCTAGAGAGGCATCATTTATCACAGGAAGCCTCAAAGAAGGAACAGGAGTGTTCACAGCAAGGGAGAAAGTGGGAGGGGGAGGTAGAGGGTGGCTAGCCTATGGGTCAGTCACTGATCTGTGACTTAACTACTGCCTGTACAGTGAGTGTCCACCTCCAGAAGTGTACAAGCTGGAGGTGGACATTCTCGTCGTGTGAGAGGGGTCTATTCAACACAGAACTGATGAAAGTGCAGAAACAAACCTTTTGTGAGAGTATTCTTAGATGCAAACTCGTTTTCCTTACAGAACTTGATATAAACTGAAAAGCTGCCCCCAGGAAAGAATATAGTGATTAAAGCATCACCCTCAAGTCAGTCAGCCATCTAGTCCCTGAACACGTGTTTACTGAGGGCCAACCATGGTGCCTGCTCCAGGCTAGGCTCTGGGGATTCAGGCACCTGCTGCGATGGAGCTTCCGTTATAGTGGAGGGGAAAGAAAAAAAAGCAGCAACACACAAATCCCCACAGTGTTAGGACAGAGGACTGAAAGAGGGTGGTATATGAGCACAAATGTTTATAGCAGCAGTATTCACAGCAGCCAAACAACGAAACAACCCGGTGTCCATCAAGTGATGAATGGATAAATGAAATGCAGTGTGTTTGCGAAAGTGTCAGGAGTCAGCAGACAAGGGATGAAGAACTAGTACATGGGACATGGACATGAAAACTTTTATCTAAGTAACATAGCTAGACACAAAAGAAAAATACATGGTGTGTCTGAAATTGATTTGCCTAGTATGCCTTAAATATATTATGTCAAACAAGGCAAATCTATAGTGATGGAGAGTAGATTTGTGTTTGCTTCAGATCTAGAGAGGTTGAAAAAAATGGGGCGTGCGAATGAGTACAAATTTTATCTTGGAGGTCAAGAAAACATCCAAAAATTGGCTGTGGTTGTGGTTTGATAACTGAGTATGTTAAAAATCAAGAAGGAAAGCTAGGTGTGGTGGTACACGCTTTTAGTCCCAGCACTCAGAAGGCAGAAGCAGGTGGATCTCTGTGAGTTCAAGGACAGCCTGGTCTACATAGTGAGTTCCAGGACAGCTGGGGCTACAGGGAGACCCTGTCTCAAAAAGACCAAAATTAATTAAATAAATAAATACTAAATAAATAAATAATCAAGAAGTATATACTTTAAATACTTTCAATGGATGAACCTTATAGTATGTGAATTATATCTCAATAAAGCTGTTGTATTAAATAGGGAGCCAGGCTTGGTGGTGCGTGCTTATAATCCCAACATTAAGAAGGTGGAAGCTGGAGGATTGAGAGTTTGGTGCTAGCCTGGGTTATATAATAAATGCCAAGCTAGACTGAGCTATATAGTGAAAACCTGTCTAGAGACAGAATGAGAGGGGTGGGGAGAAGAGGAGAGAACAGAAGAGAGGAGAGAGGCAGGAGGGAGGGGAGAGGGAGAGGGGGAGAGAGGAGAGGAGTGGGAGGGGAGAAAAGGTTTAGGCTTCTTGGGACCGGCTTCGAGGTGACAAGGTGGCCTTGTGAAGATGGGGAGCGGGAGCTGTCCACACTGATGGAACAGGGCACACAAATGCCCTGAGGTGGGAATGAAACCCCTTGAGGGGTTTCAGGGACAGGAAGGCAGTGTGGCTGGGCTGTAGTAAGCAAAGAAGAAAGAGCTTGAGATGAGAGTGAGGGAGGACTTGGGGTAGCACATGGAATCTAATTCCAAGGAGACTCTGGAAAGATTTTTTTTTTTTTTTTGTCTTTTTGAGACAGGGTCTCCCTGTAGCCCCAGCTGTCCTGGAACTCACTGTGTAAACGAGGCTGGCCTTGAATTCACAGAGATCGGCCTGCCTCTGCCTCCTGAATGCTGGGATTAAAGGTGTGCGCCACCACGACCAGCGGAAGGATTTTTTTTTTAAGGGACGCCTGAGTGCTGCCTGAGGGATGGACTGTAGAGGGGCAAGAGTGGAAGCTGGGAGGTTGGGTAGGGGGCTGTCACGGCAAGCACCGATAGCGGTTTGGAGATAGCATCAAACGTTTACTGGGCACTTAGACATCAAGCTCTGTGTGAGCACTTTGAATTTATTAGCTGGGATAAACGTCTGGCTCTGCCACTTACTAGCAAGTTGGCCTCCAAGAACTTCTAACTCCTCATTTATAAAAGGGATAATAACAGAACCACCTTATGGAGTGGCTGTGAGGGGTATAATTAGATGGTCCAGTCTTGTAGCACTCATGCCCAGAGCCTGGTACATTTTAAATATGTCAGACTAGATAATAGACGTGGTAAGTATGTTAGACTAGATAATAGTAGCTGCTGTTGTTTTTTCTTAATTTTTTATTTAAAGTTGGCTTACAAAGTCATGGGTTCCATTAAGACATTTTCATAAATATATGTCATTACTTTGTTCTTATCTTCTTCCTGCTCTGTCCTCTCTTACCCCCTCTTATTGATCCTCTTTGTCACCTCAGATAGTCTCCCCTCCACTTTCAGATCACACATACTCTATAGTGCTGTAATATTTATTCTGTATAGACTTAAAATTTCTCCTACTTGTTTTTTTTAGATGGGTGTCTTCCTGTAGCCACAGCTAGCCTGGAATTCTTTATGTAGACCAGGCTGGCCTTAAAGTCACAAAGATCCACCTGCCTGTACCTCCTGAGTGCTAGGATTAAAGATGTATGGCACCACGCCCCACTCTCATAAACTTTTTTATTCTCACTCCCTCAGTCACAGGAAGAAAGTAAACAGATAAAAATTCCTTTTCCTACTGCCTCTAGCTCTGGTGTGCTAACCAGTAGCCTTCTGTAGTGTCCCCAGAAAGTCCAGGAGCTAGTTCCTCTAACATGGGAGACAAGGGCTTCATTTATTCCTGACTGAGATGACCCCAACTTCATAGGCACACGTCTTTGACTTGGCTGTCAACAAATATGAGGCTATCTGCAACCAGCCCGTGGTGGCCAAAAAGAAGAATAAGCTTACCCATGTGCAGTTCAATCCCATCCACCCGATCATCATCGTGGGTGATGACCATGGACATATCACCTGTCTCAAGCTCTCTCCCAATCTGAGAAAGATGCCAAAGGTATGGGTTCTGGGGGTCTGGGCTGCCACAAGAGATAAGGGGGTTGGAAAGGAGGAGCCAGGGGCCACCCCAAGTTTCTGGCTATAGAAGGACTCAAAGAAGGACAGTCCCTATCAGGTATCATTGCCTGAATGAGGTCAGGAAAAACAGGTTTGTGAAGAAACATCAGTGTGATCTGCTGTATCTGAGTTACCTATAGGGTCCAGGGGGTGATTTCCAGTAAGTGAGCAGGCTTTGAGCACAGGGGAGGCGAGGGTGAGGGCATTTATTGTTTATTGGAAGCAGGATGTTGTGGGTATGACAGGTCATCTGGGCAAGGGACCTGAGGCTTATCTGTAAGTTTCACTGCTCGATTTACAGTTTCAGCTCCAGTGGTCTCTGAGCTGGGAGCCATGGGGCTACACTGGGAAGGAGGAAATGAGCCATGAGCTGGGTAACTAGGTCAGTAGTTATACAGTCTTCCTTTGAGCTCTGGTTTCTGTTTCTGGGGTCTCTAATGGTGACAAGACCCTCCCCAGAGCCCAAGGGCCCCAAATGTAGGCCATGGAGCCCAGAGCCATGACCTTAAATCTAGCTGAGTCTGAATTGAGACTTAAGAACTCAGACCTCACCGCACAGGCCTTAGACGCTAAGAGCTCCTGGATCCAACTTAAATACAGAGTTCATCTGGATGTGAAAAATGGAAGTGGCTCTTTGCTTTCTGTCTAGCTTCTGGTCCACAGTCAGGATTGGCCAAAGTGCACTGGTAACTGAACTTCCGGTTGCAATTTGAGGCATGTACTGCAGTTGGAGGCAGGGGCTGGTACTTACCTCTTCAGCTATTGTCTTCTGCCCCACTGTGCCCCTAACCCAGCCAGGGACTGTGCACTAGCCTTTAGCTACTGGCATGTCTATTCCCCACCAAGTCCAGGGAGGCATGGGCTGGGTTTATGGCCAGGCCTGTAATTGTAGCCAGCTGGGGGAGGGGGTGGACTTGGCTATAAATACTCAGAAGGCTGCTAAGCGCCTGCAGCTGTGGCCCACAGGCTGCGGTGGGCTTTGGGGGAGTCGGGCGTGGTCTGAATCTCTTTGCTGAGCCCAGCTCCTTGTCCTCAGGAGGGGAAAGGAAGCTGCAAAATTTGTGGAACAGATAAAATCTGTTCTTAATTTAAGAGGGCAGGCTTAAGCTGGCAGAGCTGGACAGCACTCTGGGAGGATGCTGGTCACTCTTTGGGAGAGGGGCATAGCCCTGGCACCATGAGGGTGGTAGATATGGCAAGCAGTCCTACTTGCTATGATTGGAAGATCCACAGAGGCAAGATCTCTCACAGTTCCATTTCCTCACAGAGCAAGGGTCAGACATGGCTAAAGGAACTGACCTCATGAATCTGGAAACCGAACTCCCCAAGGATCTGAGTAGGGACAGTTGGGGCCAATACTTGGGAAGATTAGAGGTTCCTGTGAGACTGCCATCTGACCCTGTCAGCCATCAAGTGATTCATACAAAAGGAAGTCCTCTGGGCCTCCCCACCACCCTTCCTCAGGGGCAGCAGACTTCCTGACCCTCCCAAGAGAACTTACCCTTGGGTCCCAGGGTTCTCTTTGAGAGCTTTTCCTGATTGCTGTCAGAGGCCAAGGACTATCTTTCCCTAACTCCTGTCCAGATGGGGAAATGAAGCTCAGAAAGTCAAGTGACCTGCCCAGTCTTATGGGGAGCTAATGACAGAGTTGGAACTAAAAATCGGGCCCCCTAAGTACTAGGGGATAGGGTGAGGCTGAGAAACCATGCTTCATCAGGGAGGGAGAATGGGAAAAGAGAAAAGGAGCTCTCTTCTGGGTAACAGCAGGAGCACTGAGCTATGTGAGGGGCTACAGAACTGGGAGCAGGTGCAAGGGTCAAGGCAGGAGGAAATTTGAGCTCTACATGGTAGCAGCATGGGGCAGGAAAGGGCCTACTGACCCTGCTACACTCCCCTTACCTTACAGCCTCAGCAGGCATGGCTGGGCAGGCGCCAAATGAGCAGTGGGCACAGGTGGTAGAGAACAGAGGGAAGGCAGGAAATGGCAGCTGCCCAGCCTGTCCCAGCATAGCCCCACATCCCACTGTCTGGACAGCAGGGAGAATGTGGCTGTTGTGGTATGCTGTGGAGTTTTCAAGTGTATCTGTGTCCCAAACCCCATTTCTCTCTTTTTTTTAAAAATAAACCTTTCCTCCTTTATTATTAGTGTTTGTACATGCATACATGAGAGTAGGTGCCTGCAGAGGCCCTCGAATCCCCTGGAACTGGAGTTATAGGCAGTGGTAAGCATCCTGCGTGGGTGCTGGGAACTGAACTTGGGTCCTCTGGAAGAGCAGTACGTGTTCTTAACCACTGAGCCACTTTTCCAGACCCCCCCCCCACAAAAAACCCTGTTTTTCTCAGGGTCCAACTTACCAGTGCAAGCATTTGAATGCTTTAGAGGTGAGCATGAGGGTCATAAACTCAGGATCTGAGAAATAATCTGAGCCACATGGCATCACATGGGGTATCTTATTTGCTTTCTTGGGTCTCGAGTTACCTTCCCTCATCCTGGGTATGTGACACATCAAGCCTGGCTTCAAATGGCACCCCTCCCAACTCTAACCTAAAGGTGCATTAGGGACGAGCACTAGGTGAGAACACCTGTCCACAGTCCTAGTCATCCTCAAGCACGTGTCTAGTAGCTCCTTACAGAACAGAATCCTTCCAGTGGAGGGGTGGTCCTAACAGCTAGGCTCTGTTCCCTCAGGGGCAGAAGATGGATGCCTTTTTCCAGTCTTGCCAGTCTCAAGACCTTATATCTAGCTAAGCTTCGAAGCCAGAGCTGGATTCCTTCTCATAGGCCCTGAGCTGGGCCTCTGGGCTCCTAACCTGAGTTGGGGAAAGATCATTTGAGGGTGGGGAGTGGCTGGAATCCAATAAGGCAGGGGAGGGATAGGGAACAGCTGATGTAGGCTGGGCACCTAGAAAGAGGCAGCCTGTCTTTCATCATTTCTTCCCATTGATATTCCCCCTCTCCCCAGGAAAAGAAGGGGCAGGAAGTACAGAAGGGTCCAGCTGTGGAGATCGCAAAACTGGACAAACTGCTGAACCTGGTGAGGGAAGTGAAAACCAAGACCTGAGAGTGTGGCCCCAGGCCCTGTCCCACTTTTTGAACCCAATACTTACTAGCCCTTGGTCTGGGTACCAGCGTACCTAAGCACCAAGCATGGACCTCACCCTGATTAAGTCCTAGTATCTGCCCTTTTGGTCCTTAAGGTCCTAGTACCTTGCTCTAGGACTTAACCCTCAACCTCCATTATACCCTCTTACTTTGCACAAATAAATGTTTGGAAAGCTCATCTTACACCTTTAATTTTGCTACCACAGGGCCCTCAGGAAGAGGAGAAAAATCTCAGGGTAGAGCCATAGTTCCATTTATTATCCAGCAAACAGTGGGAGGACCAGAGGAGGAGCCCAGCCTGGATACCCTCCCATTATTGCCATGGGTTCCAGTTTGCTTCCCCAATGTAGAGGGCCCAGAGGTGCTGAGCCTAGGGAAAGGGTAAACTCAGCCCTTGGCCCTCAGGATGGAGTAGAGTCCAGATGGCCCTGGCCCTAGCACCAACTCCTAAACCCCCACCCCAGGCCTGTCTCTCTAGGGCTACCCAAGCCTCTCTTGGAGCCAGGCTGGCTACAATCTGGGCTGCTGGGTCTAGCTCCAAAAGACATTGGACTCTGAATTCTGGACCCCAGCTTGGCTGAACTCTGGGATCCTGATTACAGGCTCTGAGTGGAGTAGACTCAGGTCCAGAACTCCAGGGTAGGCCATGGGCCTTCAAGGCTGCAGCAGGTAGCTGCCTTCATGGCTAGGCTTCTGGGGTGGTGGCGCCTTCTCAGGACAGGGGCCAGGGCTGGAGTTGGGACTGGATTCCGAGAGAGAATCGACGTCAGCTGAGCGGGAGTGGCAGGCCCAGCAGAGAATGACCCACAGCAGTAGCAGCAAGAAGCCTACAAGGCCGTTGCAGACGATGGCGATGAGGGCCCCCTGGGAGATGGCTGCCCCCATGACGGGCAGCACCCTCAGACCAGTGCAGACAGCGGAGCTGCCTCAATGCCAAGGTCCATGCCGAGGCAGAACTCCAGTATGGCTGACTTTCCAAGGAGGCTGTCCTGTCCACACACAATGACTTCTGGGCAGTGGAGATGCCCACCTGCAGTCCTGAGCCTGGGGAGGGTACAGAGGAAAGGAGAGGGAAGTGAGGAGGGAGGGGTGAGCTGAAGTCTAGGAGAAGAGCTCTCCTCTCCCATCTTTGGCCTCTGGCAGAGGGTCTTGGGTCCGAAGAGGATCACATACCCCACAAAGCCAACACCCCCATCCTCAGGCCTGTCTCTGAGCACCTCTGCAGCCAGAGTCAGGAAGCTAGAGTAGGCAGGCAGCCTTTATCTCATTCTCTTTGGAACTGGGCCACCAAGCTTCTAGCCTTCAAAGGCATCCTGTTGGTGAGTGGGACTGAGGTGGCCCAAGGCCCAGGAGGCAGAGGACTGTGACCAGCATTGGTGTGCCTAAAACTCTCTCTCTCTCTCTCTCTCTCTCTCTCTCTCTCTCTCTCTCTCGGGACTGCAGCCAGCCAGCCTAGGAGACCTGCAGGGGCGCCAGCTCACACAGAGGGAACTTTGTGAAGGCCCTGGCAGGAACGAGTAGGTTCTGTGGATGCGCTTAGGTGTGCCTCTCCCTGGGGCTTTGCCTCTCTGGGTCAGGTGTGTGTGTCTGAGTGTATGACTAGCCTCCTGTCTCTCTGTCCCTTGCTGGATGTGTCCCTGCCTATGCACGCCAACCTCTGCGAATGTGTGGTTGCCTGTGTGTCCTTATCTTTGAGTGTCTTGAGTGTTTCTTGTGTCTCATTTCTTTTCCAGTCTGTCTCTATGTACATCTCGGTGTGTCGCTTTTCACGACTGTATGCCCCTCTGTCCTCGTGGCATGCCTCTTCCCTTCTCCATGGGGTCAGTCTGGGTGGTTCTGTGCGTCCCTCTTTGTGTCTATCTCTCCTGCTCCAGGCTGTGTGTCTCTGTCTCTGTGCGGGTTACTATCTCTTCATCTCCGTCCTGGGTCTCTGGATCTCCGCCCCCGTGCCCATGGTAGGGGGAGCCCTCCCCACCCTTACCTGAGTTGAGCCCGGTGCGCGCCCGCGGGAGGGTCTGGGGGCAGCGGGATGCTCAGGGCAGTGAGGCTCGAGAGCCTGCAGGCGGGGGGCGGCGGGAGGCGGGCAGGGGCGACGTCCACTCCTGGGCCCTCCCCCTGGGCCGCGCAGCCTTTGCCGGCCGCTCCCGCCGGGGCGCGACCGGGCCGGCCTCTGCCGCGGGCGGTCTGCGGCGAGCGGGCACCTCCTCCCCCTGGGGCGGCGCCTCCTCCGTGGCCGGGGCCGCTAGCTCGCTCGCTCGCTCACTCGCTCGCTCGGCGGCTGCTGGAGCATCGCGGAGTTCGGCTGGGCTCGGATAGGTTCGACTGGGCTCGGTTCCGGCGGGAGGTAGTCGGAGGAGCTCGGCCGAGCTCGGCGGACCGCAAAAACAGCGAAGAGCCCCGCCTCCTGAGTGGCCGCCGGCCTGCGGTCTTCGGGGGCGGCGCCATCCCTGTGCCGCTGCCGCCGTTCCATTGGCTGGACGCGCGAGTCCCCGCGCCATTGGTTGTGCTCTGGGGTGGGACAGGACCGTCCGGGAGGGAGGGGGCGAGGGAAGGAGGAGAGGGGGCGGGAGGCTGGAGGGTCCACTTTGTTATGATTCCGCCCTCCAGAGGTCGAGGGACGAGGCCCACCTTTGCAGGCGTTTCTTGCACCTTCTTTACCTGGATGGCCTGCGCATCCAGTAAGTGAGAAAGGTCGCCGCATCCTAGGTGACCACCCCTCCGTATCTAGGAGAGGTCCTCGTCCCCATCATCTAGAAGTCCTAGTGTCTTCACTTAAAGGAATCTAAACCCTGTCACCTGCCCCTCCTCGCTTCCTGTCTTCCTACACAGCCCTCCCCAACCTGAGTGTGTACTCTGCATCCCCACTTTAAAGGGCCTGTAGATCTCCCCTCATTGTCAGAACAGTGAGCGCTAGCAACGCAGGTCGATTTGTTGCATTTACTGAATTATCTCCTAGTCACAGGCTTGTGCTTTGCTCACTGGAAGGAGCTGGTGACACCTAAGGTATCTGAAGAACAGTTCAGCCCTGGCTGGAATAGATCCAGGCCTGGTGGACATCCTGGCTCTCCATCCTAGAAGCTCTAAGATGAAGGCCTCCCTCTCCCTGACCCTCACATGGTAGTGATTTCTTAAGTGTTCTCTGGGTCCTCTTCTCATCTGGCTTACAAACTGTCTGTGGACAATCACAGTTATATCATGAAGACTCCTAGTGTCCCCATATCCAGCAAAGTGCTTACTGGAGTCAGGGTGATGTTTGTTTTGGGTTCCACTTACTAACTTTGTGACCTTTGGCAAGTCTCTTAACTTCAGCTTTCTGTTAAAAGGTTATAGTATCAAGGGCTGGAGAGGTGGCTCAGCAGTGGGGAGCACTGAGTGCTCTTGCAGAGGACTCAGGTTCTATTCCCAGCACCCACATGGCGGCTAACAACCATCTGTAACTCCAGTTCCAGGGGATCTGATGCCTTCTTCTGACCTCCTCGGGCTTTGCATGACATGGGTATACTTATATATATACATGCAGGCAATACACTCATACACATAAAATAAAAATAATAAAATATTTTTTAAAAAAGGTTATAGTATTAACTGCCTCTCAGGCTTTTCTCTACTTGTTTAGACCATACAAAACACATCTCAACAAATGCCAGAAGGACATAGCCCCCTTGACCAGGGAGTTAAGGGGAAACTCCTTCCAAGAAGGCCCAGAACCTGGATGCTATCCTGAAAAGAAGGAAAGGAAGTAGAAAATAAAGGCTGAATCACCTAAAACGACTGTGTTAGAGCCTGTCTAAAATAAACCTTGGACCCTGTGGAGTTTGTCAGAGTGAATTAATTTTAGTTTTTTCCCCCCTGTTACCCAGCAGGGTGGGGATATTGTAAGAAAGATCAGATCAGTTATAGGAAAAAGAGGAGACATACGGTTGCACATCTGACTGTAATGTGAGTGAGTTTGGTGACCTAGCTGCAGGGGTTCAGATTTTATCCTGGAAACAGTGGGGAGTCACTGAAGAATTTTGAGCAGAGGATGTGATGTGATCATATCCAGAAATTAGAAGGATGATTTGGGCTGCTGAGTGGAAAGGAGCATTGAAAGTGTTTGACAGTGAAAGACAGGGGTATTGATGAGGGGCTCAGATGACAGTGACAGCCAGAATAGAGTAGGAGGGCACTGGAGGTATTCAGGTATAGCAGTGGGCAGAATTGAGAGCACAGAGGAAATAAGGAGAGGAAGATCTGGGATACTTGGTAGTCGCTGCAATAGTGCAGTGCCATTTCCTGGGATAGAGAACACATTAGAAGGGCCAGCGAGATGGCTCAGTGGGTAAAAGCAATTGCCACCAAGCCTGAGGATCTGAGTTTGATCCCTGGAACCATCATGGCAGAAGGAGAGAACTTTCCCCCAAGTTGTCCACTGACCTTCATGCTGCTTGCTGTGGCATGCACATGCCCCTCCAACACATACACGTGCACAAACACACACAAATAAATATAATGAAAAAACTTTTTTGTGTGTCTTTTTGAGACAGGGTCTCCCTGTAGCCCCAGCTGACCTGGAACTTGCTGTAGACCAGGCTGGCCTCGAACTCACTGAGATCTGCCTGCCTCTACCTCCCAAGTGCTGGGATTAAAGGCATGTGCCACACGCCCAGCTCTTAAAAAAAAAATCTTTTCAAAGAGAACACATGAGAAGAAATGTTTCAGCAAAGGACTCAGACAGTAGTAATATTTGCAGAAATCAAACTTGATGTACTAGTATAACACCCTAGTGGAGATGTTCAACCAGGCCACTGGATAAGCAGGCCGAGGTTCAGGAAAGAGGTTCAGTGAGTGATTAGACACGGGGGTGGGGCGGGGGAGGGGGTTGAAAGTTAAGCCAGAAAACTAAATGAGCTCCCCTATGGAGAGTCAGAGCTGGTTTAAAGAAAAAGATACATTTTGAACCCAAAACTGACAACTGAAGACAGGGGTCCGTGAACTGGAAGAACAATGGGAATGGAGAGACTCAAAAGCCAGCAGAGTTTTTTCCATCTCCTATTGTTACTTCCTATTTCTTTCATTTCCCTTCCTTGCCCTTGCCCCTGCCCAAGCTCTGGTCATCCCCACCCCAGGATTGGTTTCCTGCTACACATGGTGAAAACACAACTTCATAGTTTCAGATATTTAAGTCTTATTGTCTCAGCCACAAGGAGAGACTGGTGGAGGTGGCATGTGCTGTTGCTGCTGCTGCTGCTGCTTTTAGGATGCAATTTAAAATTATTCCTTAGAAAGTACTCTAATTGGTTCAATTTAGATGTTTAACTTTGGATCACTCAACAGTGGTCAAGAGATGAGGGTCAAATTGGTTAATATGGACCACATAACCCAGTGGAAGTGGCAGTTTCCAGAAGAGGGCACATGAAAAAGCAGAATGGCAGCTGCTCACTACTGTCTACCCTTTGTCTGCCAGACACATACAGTCATTTTCTCAAAAGAGCCACACAAACTGCTAGATTTTGGATCTGGAATGTCCCCCAAAGGCCCATGTGTGAAAGGCTTGGTCCCCAGTATGGCACTATTTTGAAAGGTGGTAGAAACTGAGAGGTAGGGCCTAGTGGGAGGGGTTAGGTCACTGCAGATGTGCTCCTGAAGGACACTGTGGGGCTCCACTCTTTTTTTCCTTCTCTTTTCTTGTCTGAGTCAAGAAGCAAGCAGCTTTGCTCTCTTCCTGCCCCGATGTGCTGCCTTGCCACAGGTCCAAAAGCAATTAGGCCAATAAGTCATGGGTAGAAACCTCCAAAATGAACTAGATTGAACCTTTTTTTTTAATTAAAAAAATGTATTTTTACTTATATGTACGAGTGTTTTGCCTGCATGTATATAAGTACACCACATGCATGAAATGCCTGCAGAGACCAGAAGAGGACATTGGATCTCCTGGAACTGGAGTCATGGATTTTGTTAGCTGCTATGTGTGTGCTGGGAACCAAACCCAGGTCCTCTGTAAGAGCAGTCAGTGCTCTTTACCTGCTGAGCCATCTCTCCAGCCCCTACCAGGGGCCTCTCTTATCTTTTTAAAATTGTTTGTTTGTTTACTGTGTGTATGTATGTGGAACAGGTGTGGAGGAAGGAACAGCTTGCAGGAGTCTCTTCTTTCACATGTGGATCCTGGGGACTGAACACCTTTACCCAATGAGTCATCATCTCAGTCTCCTTTTCTCTTTTCTATGAAAAGCTGGATTATCTAGGATATTTGTTACAGCAATGGAAGGCTGATTGTCTTTGTTGCTTTTCTGTCGCTGTGATAAAATACCCTGACAAAAGCAACCTAAGGAAGAAAGGGTTTATTTTGGCTCACAGTTTGAGGTTACGGTCCATCATGGGAAGGAAGTCACAGCACCAGGGACCTGAGGCAGCTGATTGCACTGTAGCCATAGCCAAGAAGTAGGGAGCAATGAGTGCTTGTGCTCAGCTCACCTTCTCTCTTTTTTTTAAGACTTATTTTTTATTTATGTGTATGTGTATGTCTGTGTGTATATGCCAGAAGAGTGCATCAGATCCCCATGGAGCTTGAGTTACAGGTAGCTGTGAGCTGCCTGAAGTCGGAGCTAAGAACTGAACTCTGATCTTCTGGAAAAGCAGCAAGCACTCTTAATCGCTGAACCATCTTACAAGCAGTCACTTCTTCCTTATATACACTATACGACCCAGGAAATGGTACCACCCACAGTGGGCAGGTCTTTCCATCTCAATTAACCTAATCAAGATAATTCCTCACAGGCATGGCTAGGTGATTCTAGATCTTATCAAGTTGACAACTGAGAGTAAACAGCACACTGACTTAACACACCTACATAATCCCACTAACCTATTATAAATAAATAAATTTACCTCCTTTCCAATGAGGGACAACTAAGTGACACCTTCAGCTACTGTCTCTGGAGGTTATGTCACTGGACCACTGTTCTTCAAATACAGGTTCTCTGGATAATGTTCTTCATGATCTAGTGTAGGTCTCCTTGAGGTATGAGTATGACTTCTAATAACCACTGTGTGTGTGTGTGTGTGTGTGTGTGTGTGTGTGTGTGTATGTGTATGTGTTGAGGTGTGTTGGGGATGGAACCCAGGGCCTGGTATATGGACATAATTCACTTAAAGTCAGAATCAGGAGATGGAGAGATGGCTCAGCTCAGCAGGTAAAGGCATTTGCTGCCCAGCCTGATGACCTGAGTTGGATCCCTAGGCTGCACATGGTAGAAGGAGAGAACTGACAAGTTGTCCTCTGACTTCCATATGTACTCTGTGCCACGCACATGCACGTACACACACAACACAATAAATAACAATAAATGAATCCTAATCAACGCTTATCAGTTTCATTTGGGGAGATCCTGTTAGCTAAGAAAACATTTAATTGATTCTTAGGGGCTTTTTTTTTTCTCCAGTTTAAACAATTTTGAAATCAGAAAGGATTTTTCAACTAATGGCCTGTAATAGATTTTTGCCTTTTTTTCCTAAGGAGTTGACAAAGTAGCTTGCCTTTAGTAATAGAAGGAATATAAATTTTTTAAAATATAGCAATTTTGTCAGTCAGAGTTCTTTTTCACAAATAATAGAATCTACTCTGGATAGCAACAACAGAAATCATTTAGCCCAGAATTGTTAGGAGGTCTGAGAGATGGACCTGAGGCCAAGCTTCTAG